ATCAGTTTACCCAGAGAGCACAGACGCCTGTATTTGCACGGTGTATGAATATTCATAAAGCCACTGTCGTGATCTGCCTTGTGCTGCAAATTAGATCACAAGCAGCCATGATGACTAATCGAAAAGCATTGTCCTGAAATGCCAAATTTGCACCAGGCAACACAACAGTAATCCTACTACGAGCAACGTACTGCCAGCAGAAGTTACAGCACTGCAAGCCTTTAATGCACACAGGCCTAAATATTGGACATCAAGCTAACTGTATAAAAGTATAAAGCATAAAGTGCACTCACTTTCTTTTACATATCAGGACATTAAAAAAAATCATCTGGAAAAATGTGGATGTTCATTTTAGGTTTAAGGTTTTACTGTTTCCTCTTTTATTTAAGTTATATAATAATAATTTTATACATTCTTATAACATTGATCCTGTATTTGTCTTGCTTGGGCTATTTGTATTATAATAACACAGTACATTCTTCTTCTGTGACAAACACACAAACACCAACCAACACTACGGCATGCAGTTTGACTTGCAGTGCCTACATGCCTGTCCTCTATTTACCGGCTTTACATTGTTTTATTGTCACCAGATAATTGTAATTGTCTTTCCATCATTGTAGCTCAGTGTACAGAGTGCACAGTGCTTTACAGTCCAACTGTTTGACTGAACCCATCCTTAAGGTACTCCCAGAGCACTTCATGTAGATGTACTTGATTGCATTTCACATTGCTCAGATTTGATAACCTCTGGTTGGTAAATGCCTGGCTAAGGCTGTCTGACTATAAACTCTCATTTAACCCATATAACAGTTAAAACAGCATCTTCAAGTGTTGAGGTTGCTGCAGAATTTACAGCCTGATATCATTTACATGTTATCATATCCGTTACAGGTGATGTTTTACTGCGCTGCTCTGGTATTCATCTCTTTAACAATAAAGCTTTTGTGTCAGTTGGTTTATCAACATCTGAAGCTGTCTGTCCCATTAACATCACGAACTTGTTCTTATGCTAGCAGAACAGTTCTCCTAAGGTAACCTCAATGCAAAAAGCATGTAAAGTGCAAAGAAATGATTGGATGCTGAGTATGAAGTACAAGTTACATTCAGTATTTTGACCTACGGCAGGCAGAGAGGTACAACAAAAATGAACTTTAACATGAGGTTTCCTGCAATAGTGATAGAAACAGGTTTTCTCTGTATGTAAAATACCAGCACTTTAAGTGAAATGCAGCCATTATTCATTTTCCTAGCAGCAAGTAACCATTTGCTGTTATTACGGAGGGGTAATGCATCCTTAGCAGAGAATGAAGTCACCTTCCTCTGTGATGTTTTAATCCCAGGTTTCTCCCCTTTTAGCTTTGGTGGACATTCTAAGTACCTCCCCACCGTTATGAACTAAGAGAGTCACCTCCTGCACCGTATATTCAGAACCCTGATAACGACTGTGTTTAGTCTGTTCCTTCCCATTCCATGCAAGGCCACCTGGGTTGGCTGGAAGACTGTTTACTTAGCCTGGCAGGGCGAAGGACACTGTCTAAGCTGAATTATGGACACGCACACACATACATATACTGATACTGATAAGCACTCACCGACGCATCACCCTCCCTACGCCACCTCCAACGCTTACCTCCCCTCTGATGTGGACATCTGGTCAGTTGGAGGCGCAGTCGAAAGATTGCAGTGGTCCCAGATCAGATTTACACACTGGAACTCTTTCCCATGTTGCTCGTCTGTGTTTATTGTGCTATGGTGTGTTGATATCTGTGCATTCCTGTATTTTGTGTTACACATTTCGATGTTTTTTTCCTCGCTACCAAGCCTGACCTGTCTCCCCAATGTGATGTTTGTGTATTGTATGTACGGTCGGCAAGGTCTGTCATCTCGGTTGTGGGCAAAAGACCTGCAACTGACAAATAAAGGCTATCTCATCTCATCTCAACCCATAGAGGTCAGGTGGAGGTGAGCTATCAGATTTTCATCCGAAGAAGTAGACGTGTCCTTTGGCTAATAAGTTTCAATCTGGCTTTTCTAAGGTGTCCTTTGGTGGTTAGGCTGCACACACACTGTCCTTTCAAAC